AAGAAGGACAAATAAGTGCATGCCCTTCTCTCCAAGGGCACTTCCCAGACTCACACACAGAATTTCTGCTTATATTCCATTCATCATAACTGTAGTCCCAGAGCCAGAGAAGGGTGCAAGACAGTGTGAATGCTGCTGCTACTGCTGCTGCTCCTCCTCCTTCTCCCCCTGCCTCCTCCCCCTCCTCCTTCTCCTCCCCTTTCTCTTCTTCTTCCTCCTCTTTTTCTTCTTTTCCTTCTTTCTGGCACTGGGATTGAACCAAGGGGCACTTGATCACTGAATTTCCTCCCTAGTCCTTTTTATTTTTTAATTTTGAGACAGGGTCTTGCTAAGTTGCTGAGACTGGCCTCAAACTTGTGATCCTCCTGCCTCAGCCTCCCGAGTAGCTGCAATTGTGGGAGTATACCAGAAGCCCAGCTAGCTGGTGGTCTTGCTTCCTGATTCACTGAAAAAGTTGAAGCCACTGGAAAAGAACTCCCACAGGTTCCAGGGCCACAGCTACTGACCCCTGCACCTGTGCACCCTCCGGCTGCTTTTTCTCCCACCCCTGTGGATAAAGCCTCCATGCCTGTCCTTTATGCACTGGATTCCACCTCGGCCTACCCAAGGTCATGACTCCCACAGTCACAATACCTTGCTCCCCCTGGATCATCCTCATCTCAACCTTTCCCACCAGCATACACATCTCTCCATCTTATAAAAACCTCTATTTTACTCTTCAGCCTCTTTCTTTCCTTTTCATATTAAAACTTAGAAGAATGGTCTGTATCTCTCTCTGACGGCTTTTTTTCTAACCCTCGTCTAACCAACACTCCACCTCTGCCTTTCCACTGAAACCAAGGTCACTGAGGCCTCCCTGATGCTAAATCCGGTGGTGGATTCTCCATCTTCCTCTCACCGGTCAGCTGCGGGCTGGCCCCTCCCTGGGTGCCCCCTCCCTTGACGTGCAGGACACCACACAGCCCCAGTGCTGCCCTCCTACCTCTTGAAGCTCCTCTCAGTCTCTGGGCTGGTTCTTCCTCCTTCCCTGACATAGGGCCCCAGAGCTCAGTGTCTGGTCTCCTATTCTCTTACGTCACCATGGCCTCGACAACCCCATCCATTTGCATTTCTCTCTGGACCTTTTCAAGACCCTTGGATTGTACAACTGACAAATGCCCAACTTGGATGTCTGAGGAACATCTGAAAATGGACATGTTCAAACCTGAATTCTGGTTTGCTCCCCCAAACCTATGCCTCCTGTCTTCTTTCTCTGATCAGAGGTGATGTCATCTTTCAGGCCCAAAATTTGAGGTCAACTGTGACTCCGCTCTTTCTCACCACCTACATGTGATCCATCAGAAAACTCTACCTCCAAAAGACATTCCAGAATCGGACCACCTGCCACTGTTGCTGTTACTGCGATCAGAGCCCCTCCCCTCTCCTCCGGCGGCTGCTCTCCATCTCCCAGCTTCTGCCCGTCTCCCTTCCTCTAACTCCCAAGGCCAATCACAACACTCTTCTGAGAATTCTGCAGTGCCTTCTCGAGTCAGCTGGAGCAAGTCGACTTTCTACACCCCCTCCACCATCTGGGCTACACGACCTTGTAGATGCGTCTTTTACCTCCCCATCCCCTCCATTCCAGCCATGGCCCCCTGGCTGAGCCCACCAGGGACATGCCACATCAGCACCCTGGCACCTGTTGGTAGCTTTAGATTTTTACTCAGAAGTCGTCTTCCCTGTCCACTCTATCTAAATGGCAAAGGTCCTCACAGACGTCCCCTGTTCACCCGTCCGTGCTGCTCTCTGTTCCCTACCATTAACATGCATCCCATCTAATAAACCGTTTGCTTTCTCTCATTTTCTACCTCCCCCCACTAAAAGGCCAATTACGTGAAGGCAGAGATTTTTTGTGGCTGTATTCACTAAGTTAAAATAATCACCAAGTATAAATTGATTTAAAGAACAAAGGAAGGAAGGAAACCACGATGAAGTGAACACAGCGTCCTCCCTGCGGGAAGCACTGGGTACCCAGAGAGAGCAGTAGAGAAGGGAGGTGACGATGAACAGTGTGCCTATCATGATGCTGGAATGTGGACCGGGAGGAGCAGACACAAGCTGTCAATCACAGAACCCACAGGTGCCACGGTGAAGAGACAGAGGACAGTGTAGGGGCCGTTCTGTGAGGAGGTGGTGCCTGGGCCCCATCCAGAAGTCCTACCTTGCCACTCTGCCACCTTTCTCCTAGTCCAGCTGGGCTCTGAGTTAACAGTGGAGAGAAGAATCCAGCCCCAGGGCCAGAACAGCATAGGTTTACTTATTTGTTTACCAGTGGGTGATTTGGGGCAAATTACTCCCTCTGGCCAGCCTTCCTTGTGAAATGTGTCAGTTGCTTAAGCCACCTGCCAAGCAGCAGAGCCCTGCCGCTCACCCCTTCCCTGGAGGAGAGTGCAGGACAGGGCATGGGCAGCAGCAGCCTCCAGCTGCGACACCTCTGGACCCACTGCCCAGGCTGTGGCTCAGCATGGCGGGAGAAGCAGGCTCCGCCACATTGTGGGCCTCTCCTCTCCAGGCAGTTCTTGCTGGGCCTCTCCAGGCTGGCTGAGGCCCTCCAGCTGTACTGCAGCCTGGGACTCTCCCTACTTCATGCTTCCTTCCCTCTCTCCTATCACCATGGCCGACCATTTCCCAGGGGAAGGGAAGCTTCCTGGAGGAGGGGACTCTGGAGCTGTGTCTTCCAGGTTGACTTCCATGTACCAGGTCATGTATGTGCTGCCAAAGGCCTAACAGAAGGGAGCTGCCTGAGAGTTTCAATCGAGAGAATGGTGTGACCAGATCTGTGGCTGGACAGGGGGACGGAGGAGGCAGGAGAGCAATGTGGGGGCTGAGGTGATGGGCCCAGTCTGGGGAGGTGACTATGGGAGCCACCAGGTCAGAGAGTGGAGAGAAAAGGTTTTCCATGTTTAGGAGGAGGAAACTCGAATCCGTGACTGACTGGGCATGGGGACCAAAGTCAAGGATGGCCCCAAAGCGCTGGTCTGGGTGACCAGATGGCTATGGGGCCTGTCACAGAGACTAGAATCTGGAGCAGCTTGAGGGATTAAGCAATGAGTTTAGTTTGGGACACAACAAGTTTAGGAGGCCTGTGGGTCATCTATAAAAAGCTGGAAATGTGGCTCTGGGCCTTGGGAGAGAGGCCTGGGCTAGAGAAAGGGAAAAGCCACGACAGTGGAGAGCACCTGGGTGGCCTGGTGGCCACCAATTTTGCATATTTACAGTTGCGGAAGCCACAAACAAGCGTGGTGGGCCATGTCAATCTCGGTTCTTCTTCATCCACTGCCACAGTCCCCTGAGGGTAGAAGGTACTTGCATGATCCACTGAGACAGGAATTGGTTTTGTGACTTTGGTTGTGCTGGCCGGTGGGATGTGGGCAGAAGAGAATGTGCAGTGACTGGTGAGCCCAGATATTGAGAGGAACGCGTGTCTCTGCACAGCCCCTGGAGTTTCCACCACCCTCAGGGGGAAAAAAATGCCCCGGTGGGAGCCACTGATCCCAAAGGCATGTGGAATAGACCTGGCCCAACAAGTGGTCCCAAGCAGAGCCTTCCCTGTCACTCCAGCTGCAGGCCTGAGACAAGAAAAAGAAATAGTGTCCACAAAGCAGGAGGTTCTCAGTTATCTGTCATACAGCATTTTTAGCTGACCAGTATGCCAAGGTAGGAGATGTGATCACAAAAGTTCACAAGTTATGAATGTGTGAATTTTATTACTGCTTAGAAATACATATGAATTAACGTTGAATAAAACTATAATTCTACGATATTGAAAACCTCATTATAATTGTACAAAAGACATGTTTGTGCCTTGATCATGCACCGGTCAGTTTGTGGGCGCCAGGTGGATTGTCTGCCAAGCACCCTTTCCTAAGTGTTACCACTGCCCCTTCCTCCACATGTTGGCAAGCACAATCCCCATGTCATTCACTCTGTGCCCTGGTGACGAGGGATGAGGACCAGTGCCTGCCAGGGTCAAAGATTTTCTTACAGGGATTTTGGAACTTCCAGGACAGAGATGAAACCCCAGTTTCTTTTTGAGTGGGGGGGACCATGATAGTACCCATCTTGGGCCTGTTTGATAACTCAGTTTGGTTCTCACCCTGAGGCTCACTGCATCCTGCCCTTGGAGCTTAGGAGACTCCCCCATATCCCTCCATTCACTTCCCTTCCTGCTGAAAGTAGATCAACTCAGGATTCTGTTAGAAATCAAAGAGCACTAACTAACTAACTAACTGGAATCAGAAGAGAAGCCTGTTGGAA